ATCTATTACATTTTCACTCACATTTTTTTTTCTCAGAATAAAAGTAATAATAATTAAATTAGAAAGAAAGAAAATAATATCTGATAGTTATTTCAAGAATTTCAAAAATAAATCTTTTTAAAATATGAAAAGAAAAAAAAGAGCCATACGTTTTAAAAATGCAATAAACGAACTATCGAATAATAATAATAATAATAATAATAATAATAATAGTAGTAGTAGTAGTAGTGTAGTAGTAGTAATAATAGAAGCCCTCGAATTGATTGGAAAAGATTCTAATAGACGCATTCAAGGAGTTCCTGGTAGCCCCAGTCTTAAAGAAATATAAAAAATTGTACCCACAAGTACCCCCCACACCTTACGATAATTAATTTGATTTTTTTTTATTCGGTTCAATTGGGGTAGTGTATTTCTTTATGATATTTCTAAGTGAAGAGTCATCTTAGAAATATCATAAAGAAATAGACTGCCCCAACTAACTCGAAAAAATAAATCAAATTATCTACTACAAAAAATTTAAAACAGCTAACCTCATGTATCTGTCTATATTTCTGAGATGAGGTATTATGTACGCTATTTACATTAATCGGGCTATTGTCCTCGTCTTTGTCGCCATATTTATTACAACGTTTCGGCCGTTGTACGCTCCTCAAGGACACATGGCACAGTGGATAAAGGCGATAGTTAGATCCAGTGACAGCACCCAAAGAGTGTGAGCTCAATACCCGGTTAAGGCAGTGGAGAACTTGGAATTAACAGGAGATAACTGATAACTGACATCCACTAAACATGGCACGTGGAACTAGAACAGTCTACGCCCAGTGAGCGAAATAAAGGGTTCAGTTCGACATTCCAACCACCTGAATAAGGCCGGAGCGTACAACGGCCGAAACGTTGTAATAAATATAAATATGGCGACAAAGATGAAGACAATAGTCCGAATAATGTAAATAGTGTAGCTAAACTTATCCTCAAAAATAACAACAAACGAGCAAAATGAAAATTACAAAGAATGAACATTATTTATGAGTTCAAATGCCAAATAAGGAATTATGTTCCTGATCAAACCGAATTCATAAATAATTACATTGGTCACACTACTACATGCTTATCCAGACGACTTACGTTACACCTCTCCGACCACAGCTCCATTAGGACTTATTTACACACACATACGAACTTACCAGACTCCATTTGAAACATACTAGTATAAAATACAAACATAATAACATCATCCACATGTAAAAACAAAATAATAATAATGGAAGCCTTAATGATATAAAAGAAAAAGGTAACACTCAATACTATTAACTACGAACACGGCTATAATGTGTTGACCGTGTTTGGAAAATAAAACCCCTATAATTCTAGAAACATACACACAACCCATACATCTAGTTAAAAAGTAAAAATAAAATCATCCTTGATAATAGTTAAACGTATAGCCGAAAGCGTTCGGAATTACAGAACATTTGGGCAGTTTTTACAAAAATCTTGTTCTAGAAAAGAAAACACTTGTTCGAACACAAAAAAAATTGAAAAAAAAAGAAGCTTAATCGCAGTATCTTGTCTGTCGTCTTTAATGAAACATATATATATATATATATATATATATATATATATATATATAGGGGTTCGTGTGTGTGTGTGTGTGTAATGTTTATTTCAATGCCTATACTCAACTGGTATAAAGGAAAAACCCGGATGGTACAATTTGCAAATAAAATATATTTAAACAAATTGGTATCTGGGGAAAAATTTGGAAAAAAAAGAAAACACTAAAAACATCTGAGTAGGTCAAAAAAATACCCCAACACCGTAATGTCTAGTCAAAAGAATATATATATATATATATATATATATATATATATATATATATATATATATATTAGCTGGCCACTCGTATTCGAGGATACTCGTCTACCAGGCTAGCCAATCCCATTTCAGACACACGCTCAGGCATATTTTGTGTTTATTCAACACCCACAGAGCTCACCTGTGGTTTATACTGCAACTATGCTGAGCATACCTTTGTTACAGTTTCTGAGAAAGAGTGTGTTATCTAGCGTGATCAACAATCTGAACAACGGCAGCACATTCAAACACTCGATGAATTCTGACTTCGTTGCTAGCACAGCTATCAAATTTTCTAACCACGCCCGCGCCCATATATATATATATATATTTTCTAACCACGCTTTGCCCATATATATATATATATATATATATATATATATATATATATATATGTATGTATGTATGTATGTATGTATGTATGTATTCAAAATTTGTGTATTTAAGCAGCAATCATTCTTTCATGCACATTTCATTGAATGCGACAGACAAAGTTACTTTTATTTATTTCCTTGAAAATGGTTAAATGTATAGCCGAAAGCGCTCGGATTAAAAGAACATTTGGACAGTTTTTATATAATTTATCATCTGAAAAGAAAAAAAATATTAGTTCGCACGAGAAATTGTATAAGAAACTAAATAAAAGCTCCTTATTTGTCGTATTCAATGAAATGTGCATATATATATATATATATATATATATATATATATATATATATATATATATATGTGTGTGTGTGTGTGTGTGTATGTATGTATGTATGTATATGAAGAAATATAGTCTTAAGGTGTGCTATATTTATGGGATAAAGTGCTCAATATCAGAGATAGAGCGTGTGTAAATATAAAAGTGAACATCGTCAGTCCACCCGATTGCATCGTGCATGAAACAGACTGTCGCCTCTAATTGTTGACTTCTATGTTATATATATATATATATATATATATATATATATATATATATATATATGTGTGTGTGTGTGTGTGTGTGTGTGTATATATATATGCACACACACACACATATATATATATATATTTATATGAGTTAAGATGAAATAGTAATCAAATATGGATCGGAATCCGATATAATAATGTTAAGAAAAATAAATAGGAAATATTTATCAATCTAACGTGTTTCACTTTTCTCTTATTTTTTTTTTTTAAACGTTATCAGGCAATGATACTGAGAAAAAGAAGGAAAGACATTCTCATATTTTTTTTACGTGCCTGTTGTTTGATTTTCATTGGTTAATCAATCATGTTTCACATGCGTTTGTCTTTTTAAACCGACGTTAGTATCAATTTGTTGCGTTCCGAGTACTTAATTTCTTCCATTTCTTTCTTGCTCATTGGAAATCTAATGTATTGCATCTCTAGCAACCGTTGCTAAGTGTGATGACGTCACGCTAGGCGCTTGGATTTATATAAAAAGTCCACAAGTTTAAACCGGGATAAATGCGGAGCGCTTTCTGGTGAAATTTCTAGTCCTCTTCTGTCCAAGGAAAACTGTCACTTTAACTGAAGGTTTTAATCAGCCTCTGTTGCGAGGTTTATAATTTATAAATCTCTTCAGTTTGACGCAAAGAAAATCAATCGTAGCAACAGTAGCGGGCCGCTTTTCAGCACAAGAAATAATCAACTCTTTCTCCGACAAACGAATGGTCTTTGTTTCGAAGTACATCTTTTTCCACTTGTTGATACTAAAAACTGCTACAGTTGTATTGTCCTGTTGATATATCGTCTTCAGTATTCTTCACGACTGCCATTTATTTCGAAACTTGCTTTATTGACGATATTTTGACGTTTCAAATTTTGGCATTTTGAGAGATAAAAAAAAAAACATTGATTGAAAAGTCGCAAATCAGAAGAAAAAGGGAAAAAAAGAAAGAAAAAACGTGTTTGAAATTCTGCTAAAAATATCTGGTATTATTACTGATCATTTACAAGATTCTATACACCTGTCGACTAAAATTTAAAGAAATAATTTTAAAAATATTCAACTAGCGACTGTTTTTGTTTTTTTTTTTTGTTTTTTGGGGTTTTTTTTCTGATCATCACGGTGCAATTTTAAATGCTTAAAAGTTAAAAATCTTTTGATTAGAAATTTAATATTCAGTTAAGTTTTAATTGGCCTATTTTTTAAAAAAAATCTATTAATTAGGCCAGTAAAAGAATACTCTATCTATGGTAAAATTGTTTTTTTTTATAATTCTATTTATTTTTCCTATTTGCTTATCGTTTTATGATTATTACTTGATCTATCGTTAGATCTTATTGTTAACTTTAAGTTTATTTAAAAGAAAATTAACCTTAGTTATTTAGAACAGAAAAAAAAACGAAAAAAAAGAACAGGCAGGAAAGCCAGACAGAAGAAATATTTACTATAGACGGACGAATTAAATTTTTGTTACTAGTTAGTTGTAGTAGTTTTCAAACGCGATTGTTACTGCTATAAGTAAATAGAGTTTCCTTTACCCAACAAGATAACGACTATTATTGCTACTGTTACAACTCCTGTTGTTACACTTTCTCGCCGACACGCGCGCACGCTCAAATACACACACGCATACACAGAAGCAATCTGACTAGACGTGAACGAGAAAGATATCTTTTTATTGCGTGTCTTACCCCAACCCCACATCAACCAGCAATTCATTCTGCTTCTACAAAGTAAACAACAAGCTGTGTCGGGACTTCTCATTCACGAGATCAGCTGTCAACCACCTGTGTCGATATTTTATCTTTACGTTTCTTTCTCTCTCTTTCTCTCTCTCTCTCTCTCTACAGAGTTTGAAACGCGAAAAGCTACAAACAATTCTCTTCGCCCGTGGAACGAAAAAAGAAAAAGAAAAAAGAAAAGTTAAAACTCCATTATGGAAGAACGTCGCAACTCTCAGACAATCTATCGTACAGATCCCAATTTAGAATTAGAAGAAAAGTTGAGGAGGTTAGCATTTGTACGTCACCCGAGCATCCAGAATGACCATGATAGTGTGATTGAAGACTATAAAAGACCAATTAGAAAACACAGAATGGAAAGCATTACTTATGATGAACTGAGTGAAGAAGAAATAGTCCAACAGTTATCGAAACATTACAAAGGGATCATTAGCAATTTGGGTGAAGATCCGGCCCGACAGGGATTAATGCGAACCCCAGAACGGGCTGCTAAAGCCATTATGTTTTTCACCAAGGGCTATAAAGAGAAGATTGAAG